TATATGTTTTGTTGAAACTCAAAAACTAATTAGTACAAAATTAAATATTATCTTGCGGTGCGATTCGTCCTTATACAATAGTTTTGTAGGTATGCATATTATTTATATTCTGTCCATATTACATGTTAAACGTTTTTGTATAAATGAAATTTCTATAATACAAAAAAAAAAGAGTTATTATAACATTTAAATACGAATCTCTCGATAGCTAACTGCGACCAGGGTTAAGAAATCGGTGGTGTCAACGTATTGCAACTGTTCACAGTTAACTTACAAGTTTTATACGCCATGTCTAATTATAAAAGAAAGTTGTGAACGTTTTCATGTTTAGAAAATGGCCTATTCTACTCATCGCGCCTAACGCAGAACATTGTATTACAAAATCTACAGATATACATACATATATGTTACATGCACGCGGCTTAAAGGACCAGGGTAGTCATCCTGAACGACTAATTTAAAATAAACGTTTATTTAACACACTCGTCTTCATCGTATAGGTGGCAAACGAGCACGGGTCACCTGATGGTAAGTGACTACCGCCGCTCATGGATACCTGCAACTCTGAGGGGGTCGAGTCCCCTACACCCTGAATTAGGGGGTGTTTGGGCGCCGGTTCCCTCTCTCACGCGGTGACAAGAAACAAAATAATTGCCTAACATCTATTTTATGTGAAGCCGTGTTATTTATACATTCATCACACATCTCATCACATCAACAGCCTATAATAGTCCACTGCTGGACATAGGCTCTCCATAAAAAGGAGGTTTAAGCCTACTATACCACGCTGGCCAGACGGGTTGGTATAGGGTTTGTTTCAAGTTTTCCTTCTCTTTGCAGTGTTGTTGTCCTACGTAGTTTGCTCCCTTAATCGGCTCTAACAACACCCACGGGATGAATAGGGGTGGTGACATTCCGTATTTCCATCACCACATGGATACAAGTCAAAAATGTTCGGATTTCAAGTAGTAATGTTCAAAAAAGTTTTTTTAGACGGCAGTCATATACAAGCCCAAATACATAACAAAAAAAAAGTATAATTTATGATGATTTTAAACGTAAGTAAGTTTGAGCTTGTTGCACCCACAAGACTTATACAACAGGGACGAACATGTTAAAAACGTTTGCTACAAGCGCGCCACTACCGCTACCCGCATATCGATACCTATTCATAACTACAATACATCGTATTCACGTATTACTAATACATTTTGGTGCGCCATGGCACTGTACGTTAAGTGAGCATCACTAACAACTATATTTATATATAAGCGAAAGTTCCGATTAACTCCTGTACACGAGATACAATACATTTCCTTCACTTCACTATTTAAAATTAACCGTTATAAATCGTGACCACTGTGTATAGAATCTCTTTTTTTTTTTAAAGAAACTCCTCGGTTGATGTCCTTTCCATAGCCATGTAATGACACCTCATTTTTTAAGTACAAATAGCTGTTAGAACAAAAAAAACTCTAACGCGTAGAGATTAGATACATAATAGTATAAGCAGGGTAACTGTAGGTAAATGTGTTTTTTTTATAGATTTTATTTTACACCTGTTTTTTAATTAATGAGCATTCTATACGTGAGTACTAGGTTTTATTCTGGGGTAAATACATATCGTGAAATAGTGCTCACGACTTATAACTGCCGATATAATCAACTACTCCGAGATCTAATATCTTCTAATATTCACATAAGTAAACAAGAAATGCCATAATAACAAGATAAAAATAATTTACAATGATATCAGTTAAGCATGGTAACTTTCTAGTCGTGAATAAAAACCTCGAAATATATAAAATACAATGATCAGTCCATAGAGAATATAAAGTGCAGAGCGCGAACTTGACATTAATTTTGTATTTCATATTTAGAACGATTGCGGTTATGAAGCCTCATTCGAAATTTGAAGATGAAAAAAACAACTTTTTTTTTCTAGTACACTCATAGTCACTAATACAGCCTTTGGAACCGTATTTAAAATGAGGCAATGTTTGATAGATCTCTAATATAAGCGTGCCTGCGCTAAAAGACTGTAAACGAAATATACATTTTCACACTGGCCTGATGGCTATTGTAACTTCGCGATCAAAAAATAAATTTTTACATTCGACTTGATTGACATATTTTATTATTAGGTCTAAATATCCTTGATTTAGACCTGACCTAAACTCAGGTTAGCTTGGACTATGGGTCCTAGAATACAGATAAGATATATAGATGACATCTATACTCTTTAGACATTGTTTTTGTAAATACATACATATTTTATATAAGTATGCATCAGTAACTAATTGTACACTCTGCACTTTATATAATCTAACGGTTTGTCTCACGAAGACCCACCGCCGCAGTCTCTAAGCCTATTGGACGTTTACGTTCTCAATCGACTATCACAACATTCATGGGATACAATTTTGAGCAATATTAAACTAGAAATAAAAGCATCAAGAATAGTTATGTCGCCTACCGTCATGTTTTAATCATGATATTTCCCATAGTTGGGTTTATTGATAAACCGCTTAATTGAGCGGTTAATATACACCGCTCGCAGCGTGATAATAATGCACCCGCCGCCCGCACCTCTCCGGGTCCCCGTTCTCGTCCTACCTCCGCCCCCGTCCAACCAAGGCGAGGACTCAATTAAACGGTTTATCTACAGTTACTAACGTGAAATTTTAAGTTAAAAATTGCATCTCGTTGCACTTAACTATCAGAATTTGTGATACCAATGGCAAGTAACTCGATCCCTCGAATTGTAATTAGTAACGAAAGCGAAATAAAATCGGCAAGCTAAATATAAAACTCTTAAGCGATACCTATACAAAAAAAAGTTAAAATAAATAATTATTTTATTAAAATTAATCAAAATATTAATTATACACATTATTATCATGATAATTTACATTGGATATTTAACGATAAAACAATTTACAGGTTATAGCGGTTTTACAACAACCTTAGTAATTGCTCAGAGGTAACATAGTTTAGTGTTGTGTCCCTCATGTTGCATGTACGACGACGGTATGTGAACATTACACATTTATTTACAGAAAATGGCACTAAGTAATCCCTTGCTGCAACTGGAGATCTTCTTAATAGAGTTTTCGTAACCATATCGATACGAATTAACTTTACTTACGACCAAAAGCATTATTGCCATAGACCAGTATTGCATTTACTCAGTCTGGTTACAAAACTATCTGTTAAGAAAATCCTTCCGATACAACGATCAAGCCCCGCCCCTGACCAATCAGCTTCCAAGAAATTATCGTTCCGTACAAAATATTGGAACCTGATTGGTCAGGATGAGAGAATTGATCGATACGTTACAATTTTTTTAACGCGAATGGGCTATAGTTACGTCACGAGACTACTCATACTATTAAATTAAATCCACACCCATAAACGCCTGTTACACGAGAATTGGTTCAATTACATAGAGCTGTTCTATTCGACTTTCCTGTCTAAACAATATCTATTCTTTCATTTCAATAAAACGCCACTGCTATTATAAATAACGCAGAACTAATTCACAAATAATAATACATGACTTTGACTTGATTCTAATGTTACTATAGTTGTCAACTACGATGTTGAATACGACCAATATTCAAACTGATGTGGAGCAAACAGCGAGGCGATAACAATCAAAGTCGTACATAGGCAATGAAATTTTAATTTATATTATTAATGTTTTTTTTTTAATATTTTCGTTACAATATTCATCATTTGTTTTAAAAAAAAATATTTTTTAAATCGCAGCTGGTAAACAAGAAAAAAAATCATTAAGAAAAGTACATTTATCAACTGTGATCACTATGGTAGTATGTATAAGCTATTCCAAATGTCATAAATTACTTACTCTATGGTTTGTAAAAAAAAACTATGTCATACCTCAACTTTCACATTTTACATTATATACTTGTTCTTGCCTCTTTTTCAATGCCTCCAAAAATAAAGTCAATCGTCCCCCTATGTGAATTAGTCTCTACCTTTAAGGAATTTAACATTTTCATTTGGTTACTTCACATTAAACACGCTTTATATAAATGCGTCCGTACAGTTAAAGAGCGTGCGAATTTATGATCAACATAATGCAGGTCCAAATAAAATGTCAGTTATTATAACAATTAAAAAAATGTTATTATGTCAAGAAATTAATGTTAAATATTACACCGAATACATCTTCTATACAATACATATAAATTCTATCGAACGTCTCGTTTGTAGATATTTTGTAAACGAATTTAACTAAACATTTACAAAACAATACCAAATTCATTCAAATAATTTATTCTACAATGCGAATGAATAAATGCATTCCAATTTTTTTTTCTCCGTGACGTTTTAAAACACGTATTGGAAGCACTTCTATAGGCCTTTTGAGAAGCACATATTTTCTACAATGCCATAATATTGCTGTAAATTTTCTACCATTAAATTGAGTTTTAAATATGTTTTTTTTATATTGCACACCCTTGTAATTAAATCATATTAGTAAACAGTGACTGAGGTTTCCCAAGCCTACACTGAGCTCAAATTATATTTTATTATTAAATGGTAGGCAGTCTCTTTGCTAAAGGCAAAACCCGCTTCGTGATTTGAAAATATACTAACAAAGGCTAGTATATCATTTGATAGTATATCAATGTGAATAATTTAACGAATTATAAGTTTTGAAACAAAACTTGTGATTCTAAATTTAAAAAACCGTAGTTCTAGTGTTGCCACTCTGCAAATATACGTAAAAAAAATACCCTCAAAAAACGTGGTTGGTTATAATTTTCGTATAAAGGATATAAAATTGTAATATAATAAATTTTTTACTTTAGCTAGTACACATCCTATTATTTGGCTCCATTATAATTTTAAAAGGCCTATAATTTCACATACATCTATGTTCGTTCGCGTTATCGCGTAATACATGGCTGGCTGAATCCGTTGCTACTGCGCATTGTTGCGTAGTTAACAAGCTTTGTATACTGTTATTGTCACAGATCCTTGAGGAGTGCTGACTTTGCGTTCTTGAGTTTGTCTAGTCGTTTCGTCAGGTGGCTGTTCTCAGTCTCCAGTTCTTCCACTCGGTTCAATGCTTCACGGGCCTGAAAATTATAAACAGGACCATTAACACTTGTTATTAGCCATTGTACAACAAACAGGATTGTATGTGCAGTCATAAGCAAAGACCTAATTAAAGTGTAATTTTCCTAAACAGGATTTGAGTTATTAGTTTTTGTCAAAACTAATAGCTGTTAAGTTTTTTTTTAATTTTGTGGCCGAGAAATTGCATTCTACCTTTATGGAGCAATTTTTTAAAAAAAAGCATCTTCTTAATAAAAATTTCGTAATTGTCATTGTGTAATGTACTTAAAACACATGAAGCAATCAAAGTTCAAAACTAAAACTTTTATATACTAGATTACAGATCACCAGCCAGTCTTGGAAGCGAGACAAGTCATTGATTTGAGTCTTTTCTTACTTAATTACTGTTAAAATTCATAGGCCAAGGGTTAAAATTGTTAAAGGTCCAAAGTATAAGTATCAAAAAATGTACAATATATACACAATAATTAATTTTATGAATAAACACTTACAAAAAATTAAAATTGGATCGTTTAAATTAGAACTTCTAACCTAATTACACCGATTACCGTTACTATCAATAACATTTTTATTAGGTTTATGCGAACACAAGAGATTTTTCAAGAGTCAAATCTTCCCCTGAGTGAATTTCACGAGACAATTTGCATAAGTGAACATATTTTTTCCGAATTCTGCTTTTTGCTTGTACTACGTCGATAAGTTTGACCAACTGTACAGAGTTTGACGAACGATGGGGCAACATGCTAAATATTCACACAAACATGCATTTTTATATTGGAAATATATAATATATTTTACTGCGAACAAGATAATAGCGGTAAATGTTTAAATTTCATAGCATTTTTTTATTAACAAAATTTATTTTATTTGAATTAGTCTCCTTATTCATATTGACTGAAAGACAATTTTTTAATATTAACGTAAAATTTATTTCATAATGTGGTAACCTCAATCTTTAAGGAGAGATCTATGTCTAGCAGTGGACTATTAAAGTCTGTTGATGATGATGTTGAACCCCAATCAACAACAAACTCGAACTAAAATCCTACAGTTTTCTGTCATCGGAATCATCCCCAATCGCCAAGCCTCCTATTGAGCAAGGACACTCTACTATGGAATTAAATAATGACATAACTAGTATAGTAAAATGGGTACCTAGCAAAATGTATAAGCGACTCGTGAGTTATTGTATAATCTTCCCAAAATTCAAATCAATTCAATAAAACATTGGTGCGAGCGCAGGTTTAGATATTTCAAATTGGGAATAGATTTTTTTTTTATTTTTATTAAATACCAATCATCCATAGAAATAAGTACAAACCAATTACGCTACAAGTTAGGTTTAACGCTTTATAGCATGTATTGTAAACCTTGCACCACCTTAAAAAGACTTTATTTCCTTTAACCATAATTAAATGCAGTCCATATTTAACAGCTAATGTTATACTGCATCGCGATTGTGTATCCTTTAAGAAACATTGTTTTCTCAGTAATATATAGCACACACAATAATTAAATTATTATAATAATTACCTATTTCCGACGCCTGGTTTACAAGGACCTCAGAAGTTAGAATCTAAAGTCCAAACCAAAATTTCGTTGTATTATTTAGATTTTTGTTAAATTAAATTTTCGTTGAGAAACATAACGTTTAGTATACTATTTAATTATTGATTAGAATCAAGTAGGTTTTAAACGATCAAGTATATTTCATAATTTAGCAATTTACAAAAACGACTTTTAGCCTTCTAAGTTGGGCAAAATATACGTTTTAGTTTTTACATGTTTATTAATATATTTGTGTTTCTCACAGACGTTTTTGCAGGACGTTCTTTCGTAGAGCCAAAAGAATACGTGGTACTGTTCTTTTTTTGAACAAAAATGACTTTCTTTTTTAATATGGCGTTTACTGTCCACTTTGTAATGTACCGAGGAGTTAATACACGTCAAAAGAAGAGCACAGGACAAAAGGATCAAAGCTGAGTTTACAATCACTTTAGTGTGGTACTAGGTATTCGAAGAGTTAAAGTATTATGACCAAGGTGATAAAAATGTAGGTGGCTTATTTTTTATTTACGCCGCGGTTGGATCGTTAGAAACATTTAATCGTTCTTAGTTTAGGGTTATAGTTCTTAGTTTAGGGTTTGTTATTCGGTTTATCTTTAAAATTTAACATTTGTATTCAGGACAGTAATTTGAAGGGTGTCCAAGCAAAGGTTTGAGGAGCTAGTCACGCCGATATTTTCGTATTAAGACAGTCAATACATATTATGTTGATCACGTGGAGGGGGCGCACACAGCGTGGGTTAAATAGTGAACTGTACCGTTAACTGTCGCCATTATTGATAACGGCCCAGAAGTCAACGATCTCCTGAAAATTAAATCGTGGTCTGTAAATTAGGGAGGATATATTCGTAAGTTCTGACGACCTCGCTTCTCGCTTCAATTGATTGAATGAACAATAATTTTCCTGAATCGTTTGTAGGACGTAGCATGGGTGCACTCATGATCGAGTGAGTGTGGGTGTGGGTGTGGGTACGGTGTGGGTGTGCGTGCGTACCTCGCGCTGCAGCTTGCGGCGCTCCTGCTTGAGCTGCTCCTCGTGCTCGTCCTGGTGGTCCTGTCGCGCGCGCAGGCGGGCGAGCTGCGCCTCGAGGCGCGCCACGTGCGCGGCGTTGAGCGCCGCCTCCGCCTCGGCGCGAGCCGCGCGCCCCTTCGCCTCCGACAGGCCCTTGCGCGCCGCCTCCACTGCAACACCGCACACTTTAATACCAGTTCTCGGAACCGTTTTGAAAGATAGCGATGTCTATATATTTATAAACACCTTGAGAAAAAACGAGGCGGTTCTCGTTCGAAATATTTTTAATATTTTTGTATGTACCTCAAAAGTGTCAAAATATATTTCTTGTTAAGCAAGTTGTTTGTAAAAGAAACAGCGAACTTTAAAAAACTAAAATATTACTTTTACAATGAAAATAATGCATTTTAAACAGGGATTAATAATACTACTTACACTCATTTTCATACTCCTGGTCGTGATGGTTCGCTACACCGTTTTGTCTGGCGGCGCGTTCCTCGTTCAACTGCAACTTCAGCTTGCGAACTTCTGATTCCAGTGATTGTTTAGAACTTAGCAAATTCTGCAACCGTACATCTGTAACATACATCACATATTGTACAATAAAAAATATATTTAAGCACAATTTTCATATCGATCATTATTTTTGAGTTAGTTGAATAGAATTGTGGAAAGTTGGATCGTGGTTCGAATTTGGCGAACTTGTACTTACGTATGGTAATTTTATTTTTTTTTAAATACCTCAGTATCCAGAAATAAACTCAAAACTCGTTGAAAAAAATAGTAAGCCATTACTGATAATGGTAGAAACTAAATTGCTTGTTATTAATTTGATATTTTTGCTTTCGGAGACCAGTTTTTCCACACAGAAGGTTCTTGGAGTTATCTTTCGTTGGTTTTCATCTTTTTTATCCGAATCTAGGTGGGTGCTCAAGTAGCGGCAATGCTCTTCTGACTCTTGAGTTGCAGGTGAACAGGGCGCCGGCAGTCACTCACCATCAGGTGACCCGTCTGCTGGTTAGAGAGGGAAATTTACCATAAAGAAAAACCCACCTAGCGTCCCCTCCCCGGCGTCGTTGAGCAGCTGCTCGGCGTGGTGGCTGACGAGCGCGAGCGGCGGCACGGCGCCGACGGCCTGGCCGGCGCTGCTGGGCGCGGCGTCCAGCGCGGCGGCCTCTACGAAGGCGAAGCCGGCCGCCGCCGCCGCGCAGTCCCGCGCGCGGACGGCATCACGCGCCGCGCTCAGCTCGCGGGACACCGACTCGAACTCACGCTTCACACGCTCCAGGGACGAACACTTTTCCCTGTGCTCGCGCTGACAGGCACAAGCAACATACATTTATCAATTGATATCTTAACTTGTTGACTAATATTGTAAGTTACCAGAGAGTAAGTGTGTATGTTTGATTGTTCACTTAACTGCTTAATCGTGCTTCATAAAATGTTGCACAACTTTTTTAGAACTACAGAAAAGGATATGAAATACGTTTCATCCTGATCAATGGTACTATTCTCTAGATAGACAAAATCTAAGTTATCGAAGCACCGTAACTAAGCGTAACTCAATCAAATAATGAACAATTAATGTTATTACATTTACACAAAAGATCTAAGGTGTATCTATCTAGGGTAGATCTGGGTTTATTACCTGTAACTGCGCATATTCCTCGTGGAGCTCCTCTATCCTGTCCTTAAGCAATTCTAGCTGGTAACCGAGCGCCGCCTTGTCATTGTCCAACTGCGCATTCAGAATCATCGCCTTACGGAATTTTTCCTCTACTTCTTTTAACTCGTGCTGGAAATATTAGATAGGATTTTAATCACAGACAATCCTAAAATAATTTCACTGTAAGAATTACCTGATTGTTTAACATCAACTGAAATATTTACAGGTTACAAAGAGGCTATTTAAAAACATTCGCAACCCCAAAGAAGTCCCAGCCCTGTTACATTATCATATAAAAACTAAAGCGGTTGCTCTTTAATCATGATCTGCTGTAGAAGTACTTTCCAGAATACACTATTTCAATGACAGCACTGTGTACACAAAAAAATAATAGAAGAAACCCTTTTGTTGATATAATAAACAAATCTTGGCGTTTTCAAAGTCGCTTCAGGCAGCTTCTTCTTGAACCTATGGATACTTTTCTTAAATTCAGAAGAAAATATTCTTAAGGGGACATTAAAAAAAAACACCGAAAACTCCGGTGGAGTCTGGCCCGTTACTAAAGCGGGTACTTTCCGCTGGACTTTGGACAGTCAGGGTGGGAAAACTTACCCTAAGATCCTTCATACTGAAGAGGTCATCGACGGAGTCCTCGGAGCTTCTCCGCGGTGAGAGCACGGAGCTGGCCGGGCTGAGCGCCGCCAGGCGTGTGCGGTCCCGCCGCCCCACCGTCTCTGACAACAAATTGTACAAATCCTTTAGCAAGCAATTGTCTACAGCTACTACTGGTTAATGACTAACAATTCTTTTTCTTAAACTGTTGGTTTGAGACTTCATTCTAGTCAATCTTAAGGTTTTGCAACTGAAAAAAAAAGCTTTTTTGGAGGTTTGTTCTCTCATAATCATCATAAACTCATATTCGACTAACGGTTAAGGGATTGACCTTTAACCGTTTGTCGAATATGAGTTTATGATGGCATTTCGATTTAAATTTGGTTATGATCGTTTTTATCACCACTTTGATTTGTTAATATTTGTAAGCTCGATTTTCCTTCTAGGTTAGTTCCCCACATTTACGACCTATGTGTTTCGTGCTAGAGCTCTGAATATGTAGGTGAGTACTAGTAAAGATATGTCAAATACATAACCTATATTTAAAAAATAACTTGAAGCACCTGTGCACACGGCTGTCTCATCTCAAATTAGACAGAGTCACATAAAACATACATGTATAATAGACACATTAAAATGATTACGTTTAAAAAAATAAGAATGGTCGGAGGACTTATTAAAAATTCATAAAATTAAGCAGATCCTAACTGAATGTATGCTCGCACGACTTAATTAACATATATATAAATATGTTAATTATATGCATTTTAATATTTATAAGTTGTTACGATATTTTGCTCTATTAAAGAGTAGAATAAACAAAATAATCATATTCTTAAATTTATATCGAGGTAAGCTCCTACTTGATTATTTATTAGAGATCGCCCAAATTATATTATCGGACAAGACAAAATTCCTATGTTTTAGTAAAACTATGGCATCTTCGCCAAAAACACTCCAGTTATCCATACATTGTCATCCATGTAACCGATCAACAATCGAACTGTGTGCACGTTGCAGTTGTCCTGAGCTGTCAAGGGCAACCGAAATCAAATATTTAGGGGTAAATATTGACGACAAATTAAACTGGAAGAAACACATAAACACAGTTAGTGGTCGACTAAGGAAGTTTATTTACATTTTTAAGGATTTACGAATTATACCAGACATTACACTTTTAATACAAACGTACAAAGCCCTAGCTGAATGTTTAATCACCTACTGTATATGTTCGTGGGGCTCAGCTGCAAAAACATACTTGATTGAGGTCGAAAGAGCACAACGGGCTGTTCTTAAAGTACTCCTTTACTTACCATTCCGTCACCCTACTCATCTAGTGTATGAAAAGGCTGAAGTTTTAAGCGTACGAAAGATGTTTGTCTATCAATGTATCCGCAAATATCACAAGCATACTGTACCTCTTCTCCAACCTTCGGGTAAAAGAAAAGACAAATGTCCAATCCCAAGGGTTAAAAGCAAATTTGCTCAACAGCGATATAGTAACATTGCACCAAGGCTATATAATAAACTTAATTTAGATTACAAAACCAGACACTTATCGAACTACCAAATTAAAAACATAATTAAAATATGGCTTAACAGTTTGGCCTACGATGATGTAGAAAGCTTATTGCTGGTAAGAACGTAGTTCAGGTTTCAATACACATACACAAACACACAAATACATACACACACACACACGCGCGTGCGCACTTGCACAAGCACACGCACACGCATAGGCACACTCACACGCACACTCTCACTCAAACGCACACTCACACGCACAGGCACACACACACACATGCACACGCAAAATTAACAAAAGATCTTTTGTAAGTATTCTTCAATGTTTCTTTGTATGTTCCACGTGATTATTGTAACAACTTATTGTATCATGTCTTTGGGAAGGAACTGATCCCCGATATACAGCTCACGCTAGTTTGGGAATCAGGGCTTGCACTTGAATGGTATGTATCATTTGTTACAATAAAATTTATTATTATTATTATTCTCTTTATTTACTTTATATACATATTATTTACATTTTTAAACATACACTTTATAAAAAATTATAACAAAATACATTTAAAAATATAAAAAATAGTAGACCACCGACATCGGGTGCAGGGACCAAGACACCGGTGGTTAGGACTCCAAAGATAGGAACCTCCTCACTATACGAGCCGTGTCAAGGAGGACTGCCTTCTGCATCAGACCCTTGATCCAGCCGTCCAACGTGAGCCTCTTAAGGTGTTGGTCGAGGCTCTTGGCTATCAATCCGTGAGCAGATACGACTATCGGAACAATGATCACTGAATCAACATTCCACATATCGACAATCTCGTGAGATAAATCCAAATATTTAATTTGTTTTTCTTTTTCAACTTTCACGAGATTCTCGTCATGCGGAACGGCGATATCAACAATCATTGCGCGGCGCTCTAATCGATCTATCAGCACAATATCAGGCTTATTGGCAACAATAGTCCTGTCTGTGATAATAGATCGATCCCAATACAACGTGGCCCGACCATTCTCGAGAACTGGGTCGGGCACATACCTATAGTATGGCACCTCTAGATTCACAAGATGGTATTTAAGGGCAAGCTGTTGGTGTACGATCCTGGCTACTTGGTTGTGTCTGTGCAAATATTCTCCGTTAGCAAGACGAGAACAACCAGAAATAATATGCCTGATTGATTCGCCAGGACGGTGGCATGCCCGACAGATGTCAACCGTACCATCTTTCAGGATATATTTCCGATAGTTATTCGTCATGATAACTTCGTCCATAATCGCACAAATGAAACCTTCAGTTTCTCCGAAGAGGTCACCATACCGTAGCCAAGTCGTAGATGCTTTTAAATCTATATCGGACCCGTTTAGGGCCCGATAAAACCGACCATGGAGCTCTTTGCCCTTCCATACTTCCCTGCGATCATTAACACTAAGTACTACAGGTCTGCGCCAATTCTCTTTAGCCAGAGCAAGCGGGGTGAAGCCAGTATCCACTGCAACTACATTGCGATGCACTCCCACGTCGGTATGTAGAAAATATTCTCTGAGATTGCATATCTCGCGATTATGTAGGGTCTTGATATTTAATAGTCCGCGACCCCCAAGCTTTCGCGGGATATACAATCTCATAACTGATGAACGTGGGTGGTGCATTCGGGATGCAGTCAGCAGTGTACGGACTTTCCTGTCAAGGGCATCTAATTCGGTCTGAGTCCATCTAAGTATACCAAAGGAATACATCAGAACCGGCATGACCCAACCATTGCAGGCTCGCACCTTGTTGCCCCCTGATAAAAGACTTTTAAGTACTTTTTTCAAGCGGCCAAAAAAGCGTTCCTGCAATGTTTGTTTCATGTTAGATTCTGGTATTCCCAACGACTGTGATATACCCAGATACTTGTAAGTTTCAGTGGCAGACAGAGATCTGAGTTTTGTTGAATCTGTAAGCTCTATTCCTTCAGATTCAGCTATCACACCCTTCTTTACATACATGACTGCACACTTGTCTACACCAAATTCCATTTTGATAGAATTACTAAAGTTTTCCGTCACCTTTAGTAACTTTGTCAATTGTAATTTGTTGGAGGCTAACAGTTTCAAATCATCCATATAAAGAAGGTGAGATATAACTTTATCATCTTTCTGCAACCTATAGCCTAACCCTGAACCCTCTAATAAAGTGCTAAGAGGGTTCAAAGCCAGACAAAACCACAAGGGACTCAGACTATCACCTTGAAATATACCCCGCTCGATCTTTATTAGTACATCATGTATCGCCGTCTGCCGACATCCTGGATAGCGAAGTGCTGTTCTCCATTGCCCCATACATGACTTCAAGAAAGTGCACAGAGTTGTATCAATTTTATACAACTCCAGCACCTTCAAAAGCCATGAGTGTGGAACCGAGTCATAAGCCTTCTTATAATCTATCCAACACGTCGCCAAACTCTTACGATTACGACGTACCTGTTGGCTAATGGTCATGTCTATGATAAGGAGGTCTTTAGTGCCACGGGTCCCACTTCTACATCCATTCTGAGAAACTGACATAATCGAATTATTATTAATATGTAAAGTAATTTTGAGTCTCAGAATAGATGTTAGAAGTTTATACATGGTAGGTAAACATGTAATAGGTCTAAAATTTTTGGGATCCATGACACTACCAGACTTATAGAGTAAGTGGGTTATGCCAGTGGTTAAAAATTGGGGTAATGAACCCGAATCCAAAGCTGCCTGGAATTGAGATGCCAAACGCGCATGTGAGCTTCGGAACCACTTGAGCCAAAAGTTGTGCAGTCCGTCTGGACCAGGTGATTTCCAATTCGGTAATGAACGAACTGCACAACTTACATCATCTTTATCAATTTTAACAGGTTCCATAGGTGTTATTGACTCACATGAGAGTCTGACATCCTGCAACCAATCATCTTCTATATGAATGACAGGCACCGACCAAATGTTACGCCAAAATGTATTTGTGACATTTTCATCTGGCAAATGCCTATCACCCACACATGGATCCGCATGGATTATTATTATTATTATTATACAAAGGACAATAAATGGTTTTTACAATTATATTTGTATTTCTCGTTAAATTTTATACTTTTTCGAAGAAATAATATTTATTACAGGTTTTCCTTCCATGTAATAAAAATCATTTAGATTCCATTGTCCATAAATGTATCGAAACCTAAACAGTGTGGTGTACGACCATTTGGTGTTGCTTGGTAGCGGTTCTTTTATACATTTCAGTACTGTATCAAATGTTTTTGATACCATGTTGGACTTGTTGCTGAGATAAAGTTCAACTTTAAATGGATATCTTTTATTTGAAGACGAATTGAAACCTTAAAAAGAACCTCATAAGGGAATATGAATGAAATATTTGTGGACTAAGTTAGGGTAACATAACGAAACTTTGTTGTGTTAATCAAAAATATGTTTAAACCTGGTGACCCTGATTAGAGGGTGGATTTGGGCTCACGTAATTTGAAAATCAACAAAAGAATTGCTTAATACCGCTTTTCAAGGTTGTGCTATCACACTGGTGGACCAGTCCAACCATTATTGCCGAAGCATGGCTCTCCAGCGGTCAATTGCGGAGGCTCTCTAGGTATGTTATACGTACGTAGCTAACGTTTCAAACTGGTGTCTGAATAAGCTCATTCATATAGACCCTATACTTCGATATTAATTAAATATATTAAGGATTAAGAATACTGAATGTCACCACACCATCCATATTCATCAGGTGGGTATTGTAAGAGCCGACTAAGAGAACAAAATACACAGGACAAAAGCACTTCAAAAAGAAGGAAAACTTGAAACAAACCCTATACCAAACCGTCTGGCACACGTGGTATAATGGGCTAAGACCTCCTTTCTAACGAGAGCCCTTTTTCCAGCAGTGGACTATTAAAGGCTATTGATGAATTAGATAATATGAGTTATTATTACAACTATAAATCATAAAAAGTGTTCTCACCCGTCTTACCCGCATACATGTCATATGCTTTATCGGCATGGTCCTCCTGTTCTCTTTGCTGCCGTTCTAACTCGCGCATGCGGATTTCACGCGCCTCTGCCCGAGCAGCGCGACGCGCCGCCAACCGTTGCTCAGCCTGTAATCACAACACAGCATAGTAAACACTAAAACTTCTACGACATTACTAAGAAATCTTTGCAAAAGGTATGAGACCAATATTTAGAGTTATCAATACAGCATAATGGGATTAGATATTTCAACTGTGCAAATGATTCGAACTGGTGGAACTAAGACAGATTCAGAACATATGATTCAAATGTATCCCAGCTGGCAACGAACGAGCCTGGGAGAATCAAAATTATATAAAGGCTGATTAATTAATTATACGACAAAGTGTTGCCAAAGAGATGGTTTGGTTGCACAAACTGACATGTGGGAGGAACATCATTAATTCTTTAGGTACTCCTCCCTAATTAGTAATTCGCTCTGTAATTCATTCCAATAGATACTAAAAAAATAAAATAACATATAATAATAAAATGCATTCAAGAGACAGTATCTCATTATAAAACCATATTTAAACCACTGAAAAATAATTTTAAAAAAAACCATGATAATGCTTTATGTAATTTAACATATGAATAGAGTCTGACACTTTATTTTTATCGCTTTCATCAACGGCCCGTAAATCCTAAAACGACTTTCACTTCTCACCGTTACCGCGATGGTTACACGTGATATGAAATAGAATAAAACCCTAATTATAATATAGCTTATTTTATACAGACATAATGGTTGACAATTTGTTATTTTCTTATATATCAGAGAATAACCTCCGAAATAATAGATCGACCCAATCGTTGGACATTGTAATCAGGTATACTGTAAGAAAAACAAAACAAAAGTGATATCAAGCCAAACAAATATTGTCATGCGAGTTGGACCAATTCCTATTGCACACACCACGTTATCTGTTCTATAGCAAATAAACCTAAAACGGTGTAAAGAGTAGTTGTGCTTTTAGCATGAAATCCATATGAGGTGCAGACTGAGTCACGTCATACAAGAGGAAGGTGTTGAAATACTCGTAAACGAAGTATTAACGATAACTTTTCGTCGCTTCGAACAGTATATAAAGGCGAGCGTTATACTGCTGACGGATATCGATACGTGTGGTACTGTTATTCAATTATAAGATATTCAATAATAATAACGGTTTCTTGGAATAATCTATAGATAAGTGAATTAAGTAGTATTGAAGACACTGTGTTGCAAAAGTTTGCAAAGGTTTGATGTTTATATTGTTTTAATATCTTCAAATCAACATTAAATTATACGCTATTCCATAATAGCTAGGTATGACGTAACTCCTCAGTATTTCATGCAAAAATATATAGCGTCTATCGTTTTGACGTTTCATAAAGAGATACTGAATTGACAGTCATTTACCCCGTTGCCTGACGTTTTGACCAAGTTGTACTAGCCGTAGTCACAGGCGAAGATTTTCAAAAACATTCAAGAAAATAAACTGCCGAGATTTCAAATTCGGCAGCACCCTATCTTCTCTCAGACAATTACAAAAGGTTGGTCTTTCTATTTTGGTCTTAGTTGGAACTGACAAGTTAGTTAATAGGTTTTACAATTTCCGGACCATTAGTAAGGTCAGACACATTAGCATTGAAGATAAAGACAAAGAGAAATCGTGAGTCAATGAATGTCGTTATCGCACTTCGATAAGTGGATAGGACCTATCCCAAGTTATTTTGATACGTCAAATTTGGATCCGGAAGTGTGTGAGTGATCTGTTAGATGAAGGCTTTGCACGATCGCCGAAGATGTGCATTGATCTCAATGAGATATAATTTTTATCACGTTTATATCTCTTATACATCTCTCTCTCTCTCTCTCTCTCTTTCGACTCTTCCTTATACATTTACATACATAGACATATGTATAACGCTTTATTGAAGTTGTTTTTTTTTCAGTTAAAATCATTTTTTTTTTAAAGATAAACGCCTTAGGAATATATCCTGTGTCGCGGGGGACTTTACAAACATACGTGAAACGGACCCTAACAACACCAACACTCAGAACAACAATTTGTGTGTCACACAAATTGATGTGTCACCGAGGTGGGATCGAACCCACAACACTCAGCGTAGTAGGAAGCGGCGAGATTACCGCTTAAACCACTACGCCATCTGTTCAGTCAACTGTGCAGACATTCCGTGTTCTTAATCACTACACGGACTGTAATTCTCGTACCAATACATTATTATATATTTAAAAACGCGACAGTTAAACTCCATATTTGTATATCTCATTCTGTCACAAGACCAATCAAAGTTGTCTTTTTTTGAAAAAGTCGATTGGGCAACCGTTGAAGCGCGTTGTTTTTAGGATAAACTAATGTGAATGTAATGCACTGACTAATTATACGTTAGCATGTCAATGGCAGGTCACTATAATAGGTAACCGCTGCTTACAATGAGTGAGGGCGCGGTCGCCCCTCCCTGTCTGGACTGAAATATGTAAATTACTAGGATTAAAGAGAAAACCTAGCCTAGGCAGACAATTATGAGTGAAAGCAGGGCTTGTTATTTTTTGTGTTTGCGTAATACGTATTATTAAGACGACCTACGTGTTGTAGGGTGAACCCTTGGGTCGTGGGCGATAGGTTCCCGTTGAGTGAAAATATTTATGTGCATATGTCTATTTGCATCCATCTAAGCATGGAACATACGATGCAAACTATGCTTATTTTGGTATAAAAAGCACTGCGTTTTTTTTTTATGTAACTTAAACCTAAAACAGGTTTAGCGAATCAGCGGGCACTATGTAATTTTTTTTACTCATTAAAAATGTAGGTAATAGCGGTAGGGTTACCATACACGCGTTTGCAAAACCCTACCGGCGACAAACTCGAGCCAAGCTAACCAACTACTATAAAATTGCTGCTAACCTGACTTGTATAAACCAGCAAGTATTTGAAGAATTGGCGTTATACTATAAAATAAAAGTTTACTGTTCCCCATAAGGTATACTATAACGGTTATAGTATACCTTATGGGGAACAGTAAACTTTCTTATATTTTCTATACAACTCTGATAAATTTCACATCACTTTTAACGAAAACAGGTTAGCATTTGAGTCTGTCTGCACAGCGATATTTCACCGCGAGGCTTTTATTGGCGTTCATCACATCAACAGCTTTTAATAGTCCACTGCTGGACATAGGCCACTCCTGTAGATGACCCGAGGTATGTCGGGGAACCAGGGCCTTCCTTTCTAGGGTATACCTGGTTCCCCGGCTATTAGTACCCGGCGAAGGCGTGCGGTTTTAGTCGGTTCGAGTCCGACATGCCACCGACAGGTGGTATCCGAGGGGTTTAGAAAGGAGGTTTTGGCCTACTATACCACGCTGGCCAGACGGGTTGATATAGGGTTTGTGACAAGTTTTCCTTCTCTTTGCAGTGCTGTTGAAAATAGCTCGGATTAAGTTTAATCTCGCTTTTGTATATAACATTTCCTTGTTAGGTATATCTACCATTTTTTTCAGCTTCCTGCAAATATGTTGCATAAGGAAGACTGAATGCCACATACATTTTTTTCCGAACCTTTGCTTGTTGCAGAGCTGTGTGTGGCAAGTGTATATTTAAATTAGTAGTGAGTCAAGACTGAATTATCCTATGTTACAAAGAGTCGTTAATTATTATACACCGTAAAGAATAAATAAAAATGACACATTTAAGCATGTTTAACCACAGGTGAAATATTTGCGCTATGCGGACGGGTCCTTAGTTTAGCTTGTATAATTCCAAGTAGTTAGCAATATTTTTGTTATGGTATAGGAGACAAACGACCAGTCGAGTCACGTGAAGACCTAGTTTAAGTTTATTTCACATATACTTGATCGTCACGGTGACCGCATTTAGCGCTGCGATTGGCCCACACTGAAATCCTCACCAATCAAAACGCTGATCGCGCTCGCTGTCAAGAGCGAGTTGATGTGGAATAAACTTGCACTAAACCATCTGATAGTAACTGAAGGAACGTGCGCAGTAACTGCGGTAACCTCACCACTCGGTGAAAAGCAACGAAACAATTGGTTAACACCGGTTTTCTGCGAGGCATGGCGAACTGGCCCCTATGTGCCGAAGAAACGCTCTCCCACGGCAACAGTACAATCTTTTAAACTTTCACGTAAAAATATAATACGGCTGGACATAATTCTCTTCTCAATTACGTAGACGTATTTCTTAGCGTTCCATGGATTCACAGATGCCGGGTCCATCGCGTGATAGATGGGGGCAACATATGCGACATCGACAGCGCCTGGGAATTCTCACGAAATAGAATTCACAGATTTGGAGGAAAATTTTCCCTTTTGAAAAACTCAGTAGGTAAAGTACCAATACTACAAAGTACAAAGTGCAAAAAGAAATAAATAGTGAATTGCATCTGTACCTCATATGGGTACCTCGATGCTATAAAGTGTACCGTTACATACGGGCGACGGGAAGTGTGATGTAACAGTTTACGATAAAGCAGACCTCCTTTAGTTCCTAACACAGTCGTTTTATTATTACAATGTTAACTTTTTACCCCCAACATGTGGTTAAACATGCTTAAATGTGTCATTTTTATTTATTCTTTACGGTGTATAATAATTAACGACTCTTTGTAACATAGGATAATTCAGTCTTGACTCACTACTAATTTAAATATACACTTGCCACACACAGCTCTGCAACAAGCAAAGGTTCGGAAAAAAATGTATGTGGCATTCAGTCTTCTTTATGCAACATATTTGTAGGAAGCTTAAAAAATAGTAGATATACCTAACAAGGCAATGTTTTATACAAAAGCGAGATAACCTTAATCCGAGCTATTTTCTAGCGAACCTTTAGTGAATAGAGAAAGCAAAGAACACGTGTATGCACATAAGAATAAAAAATAATAAAAACGAAATATAATTCAAATGTTGCTGTACGCACAATCATAAATTAAAACATATATTTTTACTGAAAATAACCACGATTCAAAAATCCCTAAAAGGATTACAACAGACCTAATGATCTAAGAACAGCTCTGTGATGCGACAGATATTAGCATAATTTTAATTCATAACATTTTTGCGTCTATCTAACCATTTTGCGTCGGAGGAAAAAATTACTGAGGCACGCTCCAGCAATTTTTTCCTCCGACGACTTAACAAATGTTTTGATACAAACATTGTTCATCTCAAAATGTTGTCATGTTTTGTGTTTATATCTGCATCGTTAACTTTTCAGTATAATTTACAAACTTAATTTGGCTGAAGTATTTCCACTAGGAATTTATGGTCAATTAATTAACTTCAATTAAAGAAGTGACTAATATAACTAACAGTTTATAATATGTAGCTACATATATATAGATAGCATATTATTAGGTATTTATTTCTAGATAAGACATAGAAAATATACTCAAAACAATAAATGAAAAACAATTCTTAAAAACAAAAGATTTTACCACCAGTATTGTACGAATCGATTACAAATGAGCTCATCGGTGATAACATAAAAATGCGATAAAACGTTCTTTTTTAAACAAAGTGAATATTGTTAAATTTTTGAGAGTGATAATTTTGCCTAGCACTACGTCAACATGATCAAATATTTACAAAAGTATTTCATTAAAATTTGGTTCACGACACATGGCGGCCTGTGCAAATAAAAATGTGTTTGAAGACGATGATGACATCATACTTCAACACAATGGCTTAAGGATACGGTCATTCAGCAGAGGCCTTAACATTTTATAAACACAACATCCTTCTGTATTAATTTGGCAAACATGGCTTATAAAGATTTTATAAGCTATGTTAGCTAATAAAGAATTTATAAGCTACTAGCTGTACCCTGCCACGCTTGGCTATGGCACATTGTGGTTGCATTGATAAGGAATCAGGCACAAAACCGACGCAAAAAGAGATAAAACAATTTTTGAAGCGGGTTGTATATCATTTTTGGGTTTGTCGGGTTTTTGAGTTTTTGAAGCGTACTATAACCGACGTAACAATTTGCTTCTAAAGAATTTCTAAGCTATGTTTTGCTCAACTTTATTACATATGGAAGTTAACGGATACAAGAGTAGAGGACGACCAAAGACAAAATAAAACTGTGTAAAAGAGTAAGCAATAAACTGACGAATCATAGATGAGAATGGAAAAAAGAAATCGCTCCAACCTGAAATAAATTTGGGAAAAGGGCGACAAGAAGCTCATAAAGATTTGAAAACTTTTAAACATGTCTTTGTCTATATTTATTAATTATATATCAATTATCAGTACAGTAGTCGGTTATACAACAAGGATAAGCAGAAGTGTTCCAATTATTGAACGATATTTTTAAGCGGTCGATCGATAAGTCGGTGGCTATTGTTCCAAAGTAAGGTAACCAATGCGTCGTGATTGTCTTGTTTAGGCACTCCTCCTAACCAGTTGAGGAATCATTCCATTGTAGTTCTGTTCTATTTTTTCTAATAGTCCATTACCAGAGAAAATTTAACAGTTTCATGTGCATTTGATTGCGTTAATTGTAATTGATCGATTACTCGATGAAGCGTGTTACGCCTTAGTAATTACTTACTTAGTTATAGAACAAATTGTACTATAAGGTAAAGAATATTTAGAGTATTTGTTATATCTATGGTAGGTACTCGATTACATACAAAACGGATAGACTACGACTAATTCTTACACTTTACAAAACAACGATGGAATGGAGCGTGACTAACTATCAATGTCTAAGACATTTAACGTAAACTGTTTAATTTTTTAGTATAAACAGATATTCCGAGGATACTTTAGAAACTGGCGAACAATGAACATAGTAAAGAGTCGGTGTAGGCAAGTTGAAGCGCACGTGTCATGTAAAAACATAAAACTTAGCCCATTGAAAACCTTCTCATCGATGACACAATACGTTATGCAGTTTTAATAAACACCCACGGTATTTTAGCACATTCAAATAAACTTATAACAAGCAGGATGTATAGAGATTTCTATACAAATCTGCTATAAGACTTATTAGCTTAACCAATACCAGTAAAGTTAGTAACAAATCAGCAAGGACACATACGAGAACATTGGAGGTGATAAAACAGATGCCAATACTGTGTAATCAAGTTGTCCGCGAAAACTTGTTTTAGCCACATTTTAGGTATAATAAAAAAGCAAATTTACTCACATAGAGTGTCAAAATACGAACTGTGATATAGAATAACAGTTCGAGTTCAATCATGTTGGAGCTATGGCGTTGTATGAGGTCACCAAACGTGACAATACCATCGCACAAGTGCGTCCAGCTGATGTCACATACAAACTGAACGGCGCTATATACATATTTACAGTATATAGTACAGAGGCTATAAACACTTTTCCTTCAATAATGCATGTTATGGAATGTCAAGATGGATGTGTCTAATCGATTTGAATCATGCAATAACATCGTTCTATCGAAAATCGCAAATACGTGATAAGGTGACTTACGAATACGGTTAGCAGTTTGCAAGCGAGAGTTAACAAGCTCTCCGGAAACGTCATATCGATGCAATCTCGCTCTAAACCGAGGTCATCTCACCACAGAATCGGCCGACTACGAAAATGAACACTATACTGAACACAATTCCATACATCTGACCACAACCGCGAAATAATATTCTAACAATATTGTCACGACATATTACATCTAAAAGTATAGCAAGAACCCCATTTTTCACAAAAGATACTACACTAGTAATACTGTTACGTAGAACACGGCAGATAACTGAAGCAATCTACGTTCAGCTGAGACAACATTACAGGTGACCTTCGAATACCCAACTTACAGTCAAATATAGCGAGATAAGATTATTTGCATTTAGGCCTTTTTGGAACCATGAACTAAATATGATAAAGTACACATTTATACACTCGTGCAGTATTTGAAGGAAAAGGGATTGCATAAGCAGATGGTCGCATTGTGACTCGCCTGTAAAACGTTTTGGGGACCGGAAAAATATTTTGGAATGAGCAAACCAAGATACAAAGTCCACAACAATAAATAAATAATACGTACATGATTTTGCTGATCTCCAAGAATGCCGACTATTGAGGGACTTTGGTCACCGTGAGAATCCCTACGAAGGTCTGATAGGTGTATGTTTGGATTCTCTACATCACTGGAATGAGCCTCACTAACGCTTCTTACTATATGTCTAGGTTGTTCTTCAAAATCTGCGTTTTTAGAAAAACCATTTGTTGCGCCATTCATTTTGTGAATATCCTCGTTTTTGGTTTCGTTAATGGGAATATGCGATGCTTTTATATTATCATTTCTTTCTATGATATGTTCATCATCTGAATCACCAAAATCGCCATCTGTAAAAGCATCTCCGCTTTCATCGTCACTATTGTGAGGTGTAGCCAGTTCAGATTGATGCCCCATGATTGTCGACACTGATCAATCGCCGGCTATTGTTGTACTTGTTCGTAGAAAACAAACAAACTGACACACGCACTGTTTTCAAATTCTCACATCTGCAGCATGCATCAACAATCATAGACCGGGTCGCGCAGACGACTAGATTGCACCATATCGTCTTCGCAGTTTCAATAGAAAGGAAGGACGTAATTTTTGCACTGTATTGGGTACGTACTCGTCAACAGTCGTCTATAGCAAAGGCCGATAACAATATATTGTCGCTATATTTTTATCTTATCGATATTTTCTACTTTATTAAGTGTCGCTCCTTGATCCACGTTCTTTACTTTAAATCCGCTACAAAACACTATTTGTTATAGCATTAACAAAAAACTTTATTTACAAAAAATAAAACAATGATATTAATTATCTTTGTGACAATAGAATTGAATCATTAACACTACACAGCTAGTTTAGACAACACAATTATGATTTAAAAATGTCTCGTTAAAGAAAAACGCGTGCGGTTGCGTCAACGTCTGTGACGGACTGCGACTGGGGGAATTGCTTTAGCCGCACGTTACACCGTACTGTGAAGGTTTTTGTAACAAATCGCAGTGTTATCGCAATCGTACAAAATTAAGAAGTTACAGAAGCTAAGGGGCATTGTAAAATTGGCCAACAGTGCTACAGTATTGCAGCGGATATTGAAGTAGTTAGAAAGTTTGTAACGGGACATGAACCGTGAACATAACACAAAGCTACTAAAATGTCATAGAATCCAGGATATGTGTGAAATCAAAGACACACCGCTCTCACGTGTTTCTCTGAGCCTATGCATAGTAAATGAATAGCATTCCTAACCGCCAGCTGTTCCGAATAATCAAGTAATATTCACTTGGAAAAAATGCTAAATCATGAACACAGAAGGACTTGTTACCGCAACTGAACTGATTTGATATTAGATTAACTTCGCTATAAGAATACGACCATTTTTTTGAAGGCCGCCCGAAACTGTTAATTTTGCATTGTTTTGGTCATGCTGGTTCTACATATACGTATTATGTATATCAATGAGGAAATAGGCTGCTAAGGACCAACAAGTTGTTAGGTATTGTATTAACGTATTGAGATATGGTTTTCCGGCTCACTTAGCAGGATATCAGCAAATAGTTTTGTAATAGCCCGAATCTTGTCATAATACTTCTAGTTAATTTCGCATTCATTGAAACGATTAAGAATTTAAATTAAACTCGCCTAAATTAAAATTCGTCTAATTTAATTAAATTAAACTAAGGATCGTAGCGTGATGTTAAGTAGCCTGTAACCTTCCCCAGTAAGTACTCCATTATATTACAAAAAGACATATTGAAATCTGACAAATAGAGCTGTCTCAAGAAACTAACATAGAAAATATCATTTTCCCCACCGTTACTGAGGTAATTACGTGAAAACAGGAGTTTTTTCTGTGGCGGTGTTAATTTTTTTTATGGTATAAGGGGGCAAACGAGCTGACGGGAACCTGATGGTAAGCAAATACCGGCCCCCATGGACACCTGCAACTCAAAAGTCACAAGTGCGTTGCCGCCCTTGGAGTCCCTCCCGCTCGAGCCAGCAGGATCCCCCCTGGATTTGGGCTCCGGTAACTTCACTCACTCAGTGAAAGGCAACGAAAGAATTGCATTGGACATTTATTTTTATGGAGAAATAACAATAAAAAACCTACTGAAAATGCATAGATCTCGCTACAGTTGGTGTAAAGCATATTTGTGGATAGATCAGCCTATAGTAGGTAATTAAGCCACATATGGTGAATTGGAATACCTGAGAAATCTAGCACTAGGGCTTATACATACACCTAATGATTTCAAACAGGTCTTTGGTAAAACTAGTTTAGTATAATAATATGATGAATAAAAAATAAAGTTAATAAAAATATACTTTCGTACATGTGCACCAATGATATCAGACATTAGTGACATTGAAATTATCGCAGGAAATTATGTTACATTTATAATCAAATACAACAGCAATGGATAACATTGTAATCAAACCGTTACCAGACGCGCCCACTAATATATTTACATCACAGTAATACTATTTTTTTCTATCCTGTTGGTCTAGTGCTTAGTGACCCTAAATACTAAGCCAGAGGTCGTGGGTTTGATTTCCACCTAAGACGAATATTGTGTGATCAGCACGATCACTTGTTCTGTGTCTGGGTATAATTTATCTATAACTAGCTGACCCTGCAAACGTTGTTTTGCTATTTACATTATTATTATTATTATTTTTTTGAATTTCTTAAAATCCGTTCTTAGCTGACCAAATTTCAAGTCTTTAGCTCTAATGGTTCCAGAGATATCGTGATGAGTGACTATATACGTGGAAATCTCTTATATATATAAATATATATATATATATATATAGAAGATATATAGTTAGGCTCTGCTTAACTTAGAATCACTTGAGATGTCCCTTATGTGAGATGTGTGTGGTATTATCATTCACATCATCACATCAACAGCTTTAAATAGCCCACTGCTGGACATTGGCCTCTCCTTAGAAAAGAGGTTGTAGCCTACTATTCTATGCTGGCCAGACGGGTTACGATTTCAGGAAAATTAATTGATAATATCGACATTAATGCGAAAGATGTCCCAATACAGAAGAAATTATTTTGATTTTTTAAGATATAGGAAGGAAACAAGCAGATGGATTTTCTTTCTAGGGTACACCTGGTTCCCCGGCTTTTGGTACCCAAGACGCCGTTCGGCTTTTAGTCGGTTCGAATCCGACATAACGTATCCGCGGGGATTTCCGCACAGAAAAAAAACCCGTGATAACACTGCGGTCGAACAGTAACATGTACCGACAATTTAACCGTACCGTAACAATTTAACCAATTTAAAGGATTACTCAGAATTGACGATTTAATAAAAGATTTAAAAGATTTCTTCTTTGATTGACTCGTCCGGGAAGTGTTCTGACCGAAAGTTGAAGAAATGCAGACATACTTTTACTTTAGTCATATTTTCTACCCCCGCAGCGTGGAAGACATTATTCAATTCTGACTTCAAGACATTATTGACTGCACGGATGGCGTAGTATTGTTCTCAGTCTAGGTGTTCTTTGTGTCCGTTTCAAGTATATTTGTAAAGTCCCCAGCGACACAGGATATATTTCTAGTGCGGGAGTTATCTATTAAAAAAGAAAGAAAGAAAAATGGAATTCTTATTTTATTGTAGTGTTCCTACTTTTGTGAAATGGAAGTGTAAGTGAATAGAATCAGCTGTTAGGTTTTACTATCTTCATATATACCGTTAATATTCATTAAATATTCATATGACTGATTAACACACTGTATAAAATATATTGTTCTTTAAAATTATTCTCACGCACCGTTCTACATTTAGTTAATTTCATTGTTTTGAATAAAAATATATAATTAGCATATTAATTATGAGAAACTAGGAGAGAACAGTTATTGTTGTATTAAATTCTTAAAGTTTTGTTTGGCAATATTTAAAATATTTAACTGCTTGTTCTTGGGTCATAATTCTTCTTTTTAAAAGACAACTTCCGCACTAGGAATGTAATCAGGTGTCGCGGGGGACTTTACGAACGTACATGAAACGGACACAAAGAACACCCAGACTCAGGACAAGAATTTGTGGACCACAGAAAGTGTTGTTTGATGTGGGGATCGAACCCACAACACTAAGCGCAATAGGAAACGTCATGGTGACCACTTAAGCCACTACGCGGTCTGTGCAGTAATAAATGCATGCAATAGAGATCGTCTGGCGGTGAAATTTCGACCATTTTGTATGCCTTGTTAATTTTAATGACCAGTATAACTTGAACTAATATAGAATATACATTTTTAATAAACTAGCTTTTTCCTGCGGCTTCGTTCGCGTGATTATTTCCTATTTCAAGTTTCTAACTTCGAAAATGACGAACTTCTATACAACAATTCATCCTTTATTTTGTCGACTTGGGGGTGGAGGTACGTCGAGGCACCAGGGATTTCCTTTCTAGGGTACACCTGGTTCCCCGACTACTACCTGGTACCCAAGATGGAGTGCGGTTTTAGTCGATTCAAGTCCGACATTGCCACCGGTAAGTGGCATGAGAGGGGTGGTCGCACAGAAAAAAAAAAGGAGGAATTGCCCTAAAATCCTTCATTAGTAGCTTAAACATAAAAATATAAGCTGTCAAAATTTCAAGTTTGTAGCCCCAGCGGTTTAGGCTCTACGCTGATAAATCAGTTAGTCAGTCAGGGAAAATAATTTTATATGTATAGATACGAGGGGTGATCAATAAGTAATGATAATCAATATGAAACAGAACTATTAGATTAAAAAAAGTATTTTATTTTTCAACATAGTCTCCTTGCAAGTTAATACATTTAGTGTATCTTTTTTCTAAGCCCATGATTCCCTTAGAAAAAAATTCTTTGTCTTGACCCTCCCAAAATGCCTCTACGGCGGCCATCACTTCACTATTGTCCTCAAATTTGTTGCCCCGGAGGTGTTCTTTGAGCCGAGGAAAGAGATAGAAGTCACTGGGAGCTAGATCTGGCGAATAGGGAGGGTGTTCGAGCAGTTCGAACCCCGTTTCTTCAATGGCAGCCATCGCAACTACGGCTTTGTGAGCCGGGGCGTTGTCTTGGTGAAACAGCACTCCAGCGCGCAGTTTACCGCGTCTTTTTGACTTAATAGCTTCTCGCAATCTTCTTATTTGGCCTGCGTAGTAAGAGCCTGTTATAGTGGCCCCCTTTTCCAAATATTCCACCATAATAATTCCTTCTGCATCCCAGAAAACAGACGCCATAGCCTTTCCCGCTGAGCTGACACTTTGAATTTCTTCGGCGTTGGTGAGGAAGCTCATTTCCAAGTCATTGATTGTTGTTTGGTTTCGGGATCAAAGTGGTGGATCCAGGTCTCGTCCATGGTCACAAAACGCGACAAAAAGAATTCTTTATCGGCCTGGAACTTTTGAAGATTTACCCTCGAAAT